AGTTATTTTTACACATCGGCCAGCATCTGGCCAATCCACCATCTTTCATTGTTTATACCGTTACTAAAAAATAAAAAAAATAAAATCATGGGCCCATAAAAATGAAAAATCACCATAGTCCCAACAGGCAAATGCCCTCTGGCCAGTCATCAGTTAACCCTTCCCAGGTTTGCCGACCCCTGTTTTAGACTTTTCTCTTTATTGTGTGCACCTGAGTTGCAAATTGTGTAACAGTGTTGCTTTCTGAAATCTAATATATCAAAATAAAGAAAACACATTGTATGTCCTTTGTCAATATCATTACACTACTCTTATTCGTTTCATTACTTTCGAGTTATGAAACGTTACCATAGCTACAGTTCCACACATAAACAAAAATACCGATCGTAATGAGGACACACAATCAAAGATGAATCAAAGCAAAGATGAAAAGCAGTCCAAAGAGATCACCACAGTGATTCTCTACAGGTGGAAATGGAGACTACAGTGCTACAAGCCTGACTGCTAATCGCTGCCTTTGTTAAGATCAGATAAATGTAACCACCATAAAAGTTATTCCGAAAGGATGCATTTTCCATAAAGAACAACAACATTTTTTTGCTCCAGGCTGTTAACGTGTTTTTTTTAAGATGCACGTTGGGCATTTTTATATAGGGATTACACAGAGACTGGCTCTCTTTTGCAGCCAGCCTGAAGAGGTCTTTAGAAGATTTGCAGTTTTTGCTACTTCCACACTGGCTTCATTTTTCAGACATGGCCTTTTTCTTTCCTGGTTTTTCTTACAGGAGTATGTATAGATGCTAAATCAGTTATTCAGGAGAGAAAACATGCTGTATATCACTGAAATTAAGTGTTGCTCGAGTTTAGTTGGGATGGTCCTGTTAGGAGAATGAATCGTGTCCTATTTTAATTTTCACTCTTGTTGTGTTGTCCTAGAATGTGCAGGAAGATGGGCAGCATGTTTGGCGTCTCAAGCACTTCAACAAACCAGCCTACTGTAACTACTGCCATACCATGCTGCTCGGAGTGCGCAAACAGGGCCTCTGCTGCTCCTGTGAGTCTCTGCACCTTCCAACGTCTCCTTGTTGGTCTTTCTGCTTTTGCGTCTCCTGGTGTCCATTATTCTCCTGCTCTGACTTCCTCCTCTCAGCGTCACTGTCACTATGTCTTTGTCTGCTCTGTCTTCTGTTCCCTACAGCAGACTGAAATTTAGGCCGTTTATCGTGCCTGAGTGTGTCTGAGTCAGTGTTGTTTTCGATTAAAAGTCCTCACAGGCAGCATTAAAAACGCATTAATGATGCCATTATGTGTAATTTCATTACTGAATTCTCCCATGTAGGAACCGCTTCTGAAGGGCTGATGTTATTGTCACTGTTGATTGCAAGCACTTATAGATTGAAATGATCTTCAGTGTAATTAACTTCTTATTAAATTCCCTGCCAGTCATGTTTTCAGTTGGAGTTACTGGACAAGACAAATAGGTTTAAGAAAGATTGTTTAACAATTCTGCAGCTTGTTTATGATATAAAGTAATTTTACCCGTGTTTTTTTTTTAGTATGCAAATACACAGTACATGAACGCTGTGTGTCCAAAGACATCGCTGCCTGCATCAGCACCTACGCCAAGTCACGCAGACACACCAACGTAAGTACAATCAAAGGGTTCATTCTGCACACAGTGTTGCTGCTGGGTAATGAGACGGGAATACCGAGCAGCCTGTTGAGCAGATTCCTGCTGGCTCGTGGTCTCTTTTGAAAGAGCAGCAAGGATCATGGGATTGCCTTTGAGGTCATGTAAGGTTCTCTGTGTTTTAGCACTGACACGCTGAAGCAGTTGAGAATGATTACACTGACTCGGGTCACATGTTGATTATGCTTTGTAGAGCACATTTCCTTCCTTTTGGACTTATTAGAGCTTCATTGTAGCCTCGAGCAAAGTCTCTCTCTAATTATTAACTTAATATATTGGATTACCGATGAACTGTTTTGGTAATCTGTTTTTTATTTCCACTGTGAGCGCGTATTTTGTTTTCTCCATTTCAAAACTTTTGAACTGGAAAGGACTTTTCAGATCTGACATCTCTGAAATTGTTTGGCAAACCTCTGCTGACCATTGCTTCTACGAAACTCTGCCTCTCTAAGATGTTCTTTTTCTACCTGTTTGTGTTACTGACCTGTTGCCAGTTAACCTAATTCACTGCATACTGTTCCTCCAGTTGTTTCTTTTTAGTGCAGCCTACTAATCCAGCTTTTTCTAATTTACGCAATTTCCTTAGAGATGATTAAAGTATTCTGATTCTAATTTTCTTCGACCCAATGAGAGTTCTCTTGAGAAACATTGTTGTTCAAATTGAGTTTTTAATGGCATGAATTTTTATTTTTAATTAAATGAATGAACTTTTTCTTTAAATTGTACATTTTCTGGGTTTAAACATTTGATATGTTGTCAGTGCTCTGTGGTGAATAGAAATAAGGAAATGAAATAAATAAAATGAAATTTGCAAAAATTGATAATAGCTTTTACAAGATTAAAAGAAATATCTTACTTCATATCATACTCACCTTATAGGACTTCAGTGACTGTATAATTTTGTAGAACTCATTTCCTCATATCTCTACAGCAGAGATGACTAATAGAACAGCAATAAGCACATGAATGGGAAGTATAATTGACTGAAGAGCTTTGAAAAAAAATCTACAGATAGATACTGAATAGCAAACGTGACTATTAGTGGCAACTGTAAAACCGCTGTTATCAGAGCTTTGCTGAGGTAACAAAACAAGTTTGTAATATGTGCAACAAGGTTTCAACAAAATTCTTGAGGCTAGCAGAGATGCTTTTGCCTTTTAGCTTAGAAAATGTGCCTCATCTGTTAGTGTTATTACTGTTGCTCTATTCATGCATGTTTTCTCTTTAGATAAGCAGTGCTGGGGAGTACCAGCATTTCATAGCTGCTTTATATTTACTAGATTTTGAAACCAGTTCTGCAATATTTTAAAAAGGTGTTCAGCAATATTTGTGAAATAAAATATGAATGAATTTGAACTAACAGCATGCACCATTGAATACAAAATTGAAAAGCATTAAATACTTGAATAAAAAATGTCCCGTTCTCCTGTTGTTTCTCTAGGCTATGCAGCATGTATGGATGGAGGGTAACTCTCCTACCAAGTGCGACCGCTGTCACAGAAGCATCAAATGTTACCAGGGCCTCACTGGCCTGCACTGCGTCTGGTGTCAGATCACTGTGAGTCGCTGCCTTATATAAACTCAGATGAACTATTAACAGGAAACATTAATCTCTAGAAGTACACAGCAGTGTCAACACTGCCATACAGAGGAAGACAGCAGTAGATATAGACAAAGATGAAGACGAGGGAAAGGCTGCTTAGCTAAAGTGAAAGCAAAGTAAGCTCTAAAGCCTTAAGAACATGGATGACAGTTCCTTAAATAGAAAAAAATCTGAAGAACATAATTCAATTAAAGAAACGTTTGCACAGCCTAAATAGATATTTTAAGCCAGGTTAGATAGTTTCAAGTGTTTGTGTTACTGTTGTCCTCTATTCCCTGTTCCTTTATAAATAAGGTTTTTTACTCATTTTTTATGTGTTTGTGCAAATTTATTGTCTGACTTGCAAAAAGCTAGCAAGAGAAAGGTGGTATTTAAGGCTATTTTTACCTTCACTTGGTGTACTTAATAATCATAATCATATATATTTTATTACCAGATGATAATTATTGATTGATCAGTCACTCTAATAGTGTAACTGGAGATGCATGTGTATACAGGTATCTATATACTGATGGGAGTTTTATCTATAATAACATAAAGCTAAATATTAGTATAGTGTTATTAAAAGCAGTAATTATTTTAGCAGTGAAACTAATTAAAGTATCTGAAGTACAGCTTGTACTGAGTAACCCCATGTACATTACTTCTCTTAGTATATACCTAATCCTTCTGCAAACTACTATCAGACAAACCACAACATAACTGAAACTGTAATGTCTCCATAATGTGATACATGAATACACAGACCTTCATATATATTTTACTTGTCATTGCACTTCAGATCCTCTAGGTGTCAATGCTGACTTTGAATTTTCACGACTATCAAAAACCCACAGCCAAAGCTCTCACAAATCTCTTGTATCAGTATTAAAGACATCTTGCTCAGAAATACAAAGTGATAGCTTATTGATTGGTCCTATATGACCTGTCAAACAGTCAATACAGCCCATTAGTGAGAATGCCCTCAGAAGAATCGCTTTTCGTACTGGTAGTGTTTAACAGACTCAGTCTCACAGATGGATGACGCCCACAGTTCTTATGTTTCTGGCTTTCCTCTCTGTTGTAGCTCCATAATAAGTGTGCATCTAATGTGAAGCCCGAGTGTGATGGAGGAGCCTTGAGGGACCACACTCTGTTGCCCTCGTACATCTGCCCTGTCGTCTTGGTAAGAATGCATTCCTCTGTACGAGAGCGTGCATACAGCAAAAACTCAAATAGTTTTAGTTCACCAGTTTAACATTTATTGGACTCTTTAAAAATCTATTTAACAAAAAATATGTGGTCAGAGTTTAGAAGTTTGGAGAAGTTGCTGCAGTTCTGTAGGTAAAAACAGACCTACTCCGTAAGGGTGAGACCAAGCATTTGATCAAGCATTTGCGGGTGGCTGTTGCTCAGGAGGTAGAGCAGGTCACTTACTGATCGGAAGGTTTGTGGTTCGATCCTTGGCACCTCCAGTCTGTATGCCAAGTATCCTTGGGCAAGATACTAACTCCAAGTTTCTCTCCGATGCATCCATCGGAGTGTGAATGTCATTAGAAAAGCTCAGTTTAGAGTCAGCACTTGTGAGAATGGGTGTGATTGGGTGTTGTATACAGCACTTTCAGTGCTCCAGGAGAGTAGAAAAGCGCTATATAAGAATCAGTCCATTTGACGTGCAGCTACAGAGTACATTTAAGGAAAACTCTGTGGTGCATTCATTTACCTCATTTGGTCAGGTATCAGTTTATCAATTCATAACTTTTAGGTATTTATTTTCCTGTTGATATTGTGTCTCTCGCTCTTAAAGTGAAACTACCTTAAAAATTAGAGATTTACCTTTATGTAATCACCCATTTACAGACATAAACTCTCTCTAAATACAAGTAGTTAGATGTAATGTCACCACAGTGATGTCACCCATTGTGACATTCCCCGTTCTAGTTTTGAAAGGTTACTGCACATCCACTGGTATCCCGACACCAGACAGGAGGCAAGTGTGACAGGAATAATGAGTTAATGCTGATATAATGCACGGCCATTATACATTTGCTATGTATGGCTATGCAACTATTTCATGTTCTGTCTGAAATGACTGAATGTTTCCTAAAAACCTCCCTGTGGAGGTTCTGGAAGGTTAATCAAAGGAAGTCAGTGTTAAACGTGACAAATCGTTATTTATAAAACTTCCTTTTGTCACCGCATGGCCGAGTTACAACCTCCAAACACGTTCGTCTTTTTCACAATCAGTAAATATTATTAAAAGCAGTGATTGTTTTAGTGGTGAAAACAATTATTGGAGTATTTTTATGCTCCTCGCTTTTTAATTTCTCACACAAATCCATAAGTGACAAACTGATACATATCAAGCTTGAGTGCCAGAGCACTTTCTGGAATCTGCTGAAGCCACTCTTCCAGTTTCAGGGTTAAAGCTTTTAATGATCACCACATCTATCACATCTGTAAACATCTGCTCCTGTCAGCCACCACTTGTTTGTCCAGCAACTGCTTGTCTGGAGCTCAAAGTCCTACAGCACCTTAGCCCTGATGTTCCCAACTACCTTTGGTGGTGTCTCCTATCAGGAGTTGGGGAGTTCTAGTCCCCATGTGGCACAGATATTCACGCACACTATCTCAGCCGCTTGGTCGCACCTTTCAGTGTACACTACCCCAGCTTGAATCTTAGGTCCTCGAGAGCATCTGCAGTTTGTGCCCTGACTGTATGATAGACTCCTGCGTCTGTGAATCTGGTGCTGAGGGCCAGTTCTTATAAGAACAGGAAAGAACAGAGGCTCTGAATATATTCTGCCATGATCAGAGCCTCTGTTCTTTCCTTTACTTCGGTTCTTTTCGTGCCACTGGTAGAATTTCTTGATGTCAGATTTTTCCTCTGTCTGTTGATGGTACATCCCATGCAGAGGCTTGGTCTTCCATCATAGTTCTGTCTTCCTTTTCCTTATCACCATCTGTCTTTAGCTGTCTGAGGCACTCTTGGAGCAGCTCATCTTTGGGGGCTATCGTCCTGCTGTATTCATAGGTGCTTATTTTTTGCTGCTGAGTTGTGACTGACACTCAATAATCTTCGCCCTCCTACTGTCTGTTGCTCATAGAGCCTCAGGGTGCTGGACTTCAGCTGGAGACCTGTACATTCTGCGGAGTTGTTGCATCTCGACATAAGGAGCATCTGTCTCCTGTGGACAGTTTATTATTCCAGTATGGTATCTGATGACTGTTCGGTGAATGGCATGCCGTGATTGGAATCAGAATCCTGTGCTATTATTCCAAAGACACTAATGTTGCCACTGCGCTATCCAGCTGCTTTTTCATGGACTTGGACATTTAATTTGTATTTTGTTTTTAGTTTTTTTAGAGACAGGTCGTACAGACTAGGTTAGGTACATTTGTCATTTTACAACTAAAATTTAATTTAATTTAATGAATGTGACCTGTACACAGTCAATCACTTCACCTTCATTCTCAGGACCGTCATTCTGGGGTGAAGCGAGGGGAGGGGGAATCACCTCCCAGCACCAGCCCTGATGACACCAATCAGACTTTTAAATTCTCCCCTGGAGATGGACAAGCACTCCAGGTATGCTGGCCGCTCACTCTGCACCTGTCATTTCTGCATGGTGTAAATAAAGCTGGTTAGCAGCTACCTGAATCTGTCCTTCCTCTATCCAGATAACCCCGCTTCCAGGCACTCACCCGCTCCTGGTTTTGGTCAATCCCAAGAGTGGAGGGAGACAGGGGGAGCGGTAAGTTACACTCACCCACAGGCCGACTCTCGCTTACCTCTTTGATTTATTAGACAGAGGTTATAAATCTCATTTGACATTTGAGATAAATAGCTAATATTTCATTAATCAAACATAAATTCATTATCATTATTCTTTTATTAAATGGAGTAAAATCTGAGGTATGTAATAGTCAGTTATTCCATTTAAAAACTAAACACTAAACAGAAATGAATCTGTCCCCTGCTGTGGCAAAAAGGACCCAAATGCAAGACTCGCAGACAAAGCAAAGTAAATTTCAAAAAATTTTAAGCACACAAAGTAACAAACGCAGACACTCTAGGACTGAAGGGAGACTGAAGCAGAAATCAAGAAATCAATCAAAATGATGAGACAGGTGGAAGTAAAACTGAAGGAAAAGCTCAAAAGACGGCAGAGGCATAAACAGGCATATACATGAATTCAATTACATTAATGCAACAAACATGCTCAGTAATTGCCAAACACATAAATGCCAACACTCGAGGAAGCTGGAGGTTAAAATTCCCGAGGAAATGCTTTAACAATGATCTGTATAAATAAAATGAGACGAGTGAAAAGTTACTTCATTAACACCAGTTTTCTTCGTTTTTCTTTAAACTAAGTTTATGACATACCTCTAAAGAAAACATCTGGCCCACGAGTTATCAGCTATAGTGACTAACTTGGCTTTCCTATAACACACAAGCACCTACTACAGCAAGTGTAGAACTTACCCACAGTGCATTTACTGCTCATAGCTTAGAGGGCTCTGTTAAATCAACCCCATCATTGAACAAGACAAAAGTGTACCACACCTGGTGCATGGACGTTTGTTACCTAAGCACCTCCCACTAATAATCCTGCTATTCTCAGGTCTATTCTCACTGTTCTTCTAGCAACCTGGGAATTCCATTATACTGAACTGAGACACAAAGAAGTAAATGCAAAACAATGCACAAAATGTAAATCATCAACGTGTAGTGGATAATTGCAAATAGGACAGTAATTTTAGGTTCTTATCCATACACTTCTGGTTGGGAGGTTTATTCTGCTGTCATATGTTATATTTTAGTGTTTCATGTTCGCATTAAACATGTCCAGAGTTTCACATAATGAAAGAATAAGGGGACAGTTGTCTCAAAGAAGCTAAAACAGCTTGTTTCAGACACTACATGAATCATGGGGTCTCCCCCTAAAACTTTGATGTTTTATGATGTTTCTATTACAACATGATGACGTCCGGCTGTTAAGGCATAATTGTGATGTTGTAGGGTGTTAGACTGAGAAAATAAATAATGTGATTTACAACTCTGTCCTTATGATATATTATTTGATATAGTTTCTTGGAATCTTTCTTTCAAGGTGAACCAACCCAAATTCTCATGTCCCTAAAAGCCTAATGTATTGTTACGAAGTTTGAAGACGATCAACCTTGACCGACCTTGGCCCCATTTTCACCTAGATATGATTAGCTTGAGGTGTTTTTGGTATCTACTGTCAGGCAAAGTTTGAAAATTATATTTTGAAAACTGTGGACAGCAGGCTGCTATCAAACAGACAGAACCGATTACATACTCCCTCCCTTCGGGGGAGAAAAGGAACTACTCTAGCATTATCTAATCTGAAAAAGATGACAAGAAGAAGAAGGACAAGAAGGACCCCTTTATTTGCATACTAAATACAACATGGATCTGGTGGCCTCATATGCATGGACAAATTAGTTACACTCAAAGACTCCCGAGTTGAAATCCATAGAATGATTCCTCAAGAGCAAAATGGTAAAAAAAAAAAAAAAAAATAGAACTTCTAGGAGGAAAAAAGGCTTTTTAAAACTTTACTTTGGGGCAAAGTCAGCTAACCTCTTCAGCATTCCTCTTTTTTTTTCTTTCAATTGGAATTGGCCGAGATAGGCCCCAGCCTACAGTGACCCTGAATTAGATAAGCAGTTAAGATGAATGTGATTTGACTGGTGGTTCTATGCATCCTTTCTATGTCCCACATCCAATGAAATGAAAGCTAATTTACAGAAAAATAGGTGCCCAGAGGCATTAGCAGGATGCTGAGACTAAAATCAGCTTTGATTCAAGCTTTTTTGGAGCCATTATGAGAAAATGACAGTATTTTTACTTATGCCAAAGAGGGCGCCAACATTTCTTCGCCTCCCTGCCAACGCTCTGAATGCTGTCATTTAAAGAGGAAGAGATACAAGCTTTAAATTCATGTCTCCATTGTCTCATTGTACCCCACCTAACTCACAAAAGCCTGTGGCTCTCCCCCAGTTTGATACATTACCATAGCAACGCACTCTTTTGTTACAATTAGAAAGGAAATTATTATCTATTAATAGAACAAATAAACAGTTTAAGCAGGAAACCAGAGACAGAGGCTGCTATTTATGTCTGAGTTCAGTTTCATCTTTATTATGAGTGATGACTGCAAACACGAGTTGTAAAAGCTTCTCTTCTACCCAGAGACGTGTCAACAGATAGGATAGAGAGCTTAGGCACTTATTCACTAGCTGATATAAATATACTGGTACACTCAGTAGAAGGATATTAGAAGCCTGTAAAACTGCTTTTACGGCACACATGAAGGCTTTAATGAACACTTTACGTAACATCCACGAGGTTGCATGAAGCTGCCTTGTCAATGAGCAGCTCACTGAAAACGTTTGTGAACACAAAAAGATGACTGTCCAAATGAAGGGCATGCAAAAAAAAAACCCTGTACCTTTCCTGCAGAACATGGGACACTGATTCAGAGCAATCAGATGTGTGTGGAGGTTGCAGAAGTCGTATAACATTCTAAGTTAAATACATGTTGTCATGACTTTTATATCACCTCGATTGTATACCATTACATAAAAGTGAAAACTTGAGATCTTCATATCATACACATTTGTTGACAAACGAATGATGTGCATGCATTTTGTAACTCTAAAAACCTATGAAAGATTCTTATGAAAAACAGTAAATATATATATATATATATATATATGAATGCAGCTGTCCCAGCAGAGTTATACTCGACTAAGCTACCCTAAGGCAAAAAGTTTACACTCATTAGGGAAACGTGGTGATTTTGTGGCAACATCATGCAGTTCATTTACATTTTTATTTATTTAGAACAACCACAGTGAGTGAGCACATGGCAACAGTGGGAAGGAATAACATTATTTTAAATAAGAAGACCATAGAAGACCACCTACAACAAACATGACAAAATACAAACTACAGGAAAGACGAGACAGACGTCAATGACATGTAGCAGTGCATATAAACACATGGGGAATGAGAAGACGAAGGCCAGTAAAAAAAATCTTAAGACCAATGGCCCAATTGGTTTCACACGCCAGACCATGTGTGCAATTTCTAAATGTGGTAATCGGGCTTATGGGCCTGATCATTGATGGTTTTCAATTAATTCGTAGGGCATGAGAATTTATGAAAGAACCAAGCTGATAAAATGTCTTTAGGTAGTCTTTGTGTTTGTTTTGCTGTTCAAAATCTGGTATCCCTGACAGATTGCATCCACGAATTTATAGACCAATGCAGCAGCACGTGGACCACCGCAGACCTGCAAAATTCTTGTATTTCATAATCTGTGTAATTTGAGCACTCATATAAGCCTGGTGTGTAATTACCATATTAACACTATAAACTGTCCTCCTTCTTTCCTCTTCAGGGTACTTAGGAAGTTCAGGTACCTGCTAAACCCGAGGCAGGTGTACAGTCTGGATCAAGGAGGGCCGATGGTAGGGTAAGTCTGCTGTGCTCATCTCTCTTTCCTTTGCAGTGGTAGTGGCTAGGTGAAGTTGCAGTAAATTGTGAACCCTTAATGACTTAAAAAATGAGCTGACTCAAGTTCTAAGATAAAGACTACCCAATTAAATAAAACAAAGACACTACGTGGGATGTTAATTTATTGAGGAGAAGTATGCTGTATTACATGTGTGTGAGGGAAAAACCATGTGAACCTTTGGGTGACCCCTTTTCTATTGAGATTCTTTTCATAGATAGACATTTTTTGCTCTGGTACAATTTGGAATTAATTGTTCTGCACATGATGACAAGCTGTCCTGGCACAGGTGGCAGCAAACACAAACCATGATGCTACCACCACCGTGTTTCACAGATGGAATAAGGTGCTGATACTGGATTACAGTTTTTTTTTCTTGTCCCAAACAGAATATCATTCATTTTAACCAGAAAGTTTTTTGTTTTATTCATGAATTTTGTAGTTTCCTGGGGCTATACTATTTGGAATTAACATGTTCCCCTTGTGCTTTGTGTGGATTTTGTGCATGACAAGCAAGTCAGCTTAATTGGGGATTCTAAGCTATGTGAGAGTGTGAGGCTGTCTGTCTCACAGTGTTAGCCCTGTGATGGGCTCTCAACATTATGCCCCATGTCAGAAAGGATATGCTTTAGTGCCTAAAACCAGCACCAGCCCATTAGAGCATACCAACAAAAGAGAAACAATTAAACTCCTATTTTTTCAGCCGATATGATAGTTTGAACTAAAGCTAGTAGTATCCTCTGTTTTTGGGCTGAGTCAGGAGTTTATATTTCAGGATAAAAAGAGCATCATGAATATGAAATAGAAACATAAATTGTTCAGTCAGAGCGCTGTGCTGGGAGACCACCTCCTCCTGTCATGTTAGACTAACCTGCTGGAGGTCAGTGAAGGGGAATGGGGACACTGCGTTACTGCCGCGCTGTGCATTTGACCTCTTGACACTCACATGCGTTCCTGCATACGTCAGAGCTGAGCACAACTTGTACTTTGAAATGAATTCTGTTGGGCCCCCTTGTTCATTGGAAGAAGAAAAAAATGCCCTTATACAGCAGCACAAGGGCCATGAATGCTTTACCTTGAAGGTGAAGTGACTTCACCATCCTTTCACATCCATTTGTATGAGGCTCTCTGCTCCCTTTTCTGTTACTGTCTCTGCCTCTCTCTCAGTCACGACAAGCAAAGTTGCTGCCCTCGAGAGCCCATTGTAAGAAAAGAGACCCGATGACGCACACGGGTCTTTGGGGAGAATGCTGTAGATGGTACACGCTGCATCAAACACAGACACTGTGATACACTGATGTGATGCTGGACTCTAGAAAAGATATCAAAACGCTGATCTTGTTTTGTAGTATCTGTACTGTCAATATACACTGTAGCTTACAGTTTAGTACTGCAACGTTCTGAACTAATCAGAGATTTTATTGAATAAAAGTATCTTCAAATGGTTGATTCAAAGGCATTACATCAGTTTTGTTTTCCACTGCATTTTCAAAATAAGATATGGACAAGACATATAATTGCTACACGTGACACAAACAAAAAAAGAAAGCCCCAGTGTCTGTCTGCACAGCCATGGCAATGCCGGGGGGGGGGGGGGGGGGGGGGGGGGGGGGGGGGGGGGGGGGGGTTTCCAATGTTTTTTGGAAGGAAAAAAAGGAAGTGACCATATTTGGAAATAACTGGGCCGCTAGGTTATTAGCCAATGATAAAGTTGGTAAGGTGCATCCGCAAACTCTGAAGGTACAGCACACAGAGTAGCGGTTTTTGATATACGGGCGACACGGGCGGTTGCCCGGGGCGGCATCGTGGTGGGGGGCGGCATCACGGGCATCGGCAAAAAAAAAAAAAAAAATTGCTCGTACTCATGCTGCCCCGACATCAGCCAGCGCATATTGGGAACGGCATAGGCACCGATCGGCTTTCTATCGCCCATTTGCTGGGCGTAAGGGCGCCCTTCGTTTGTGAGGTGCGCCTGCTGCTTGTTGCACAGGGAGGAGAGGGCGGGGCGGGGGGATTCTCTGATTGGCTGGAGCTCGCAAAATAAAATAAAATAAAAACAAAACAACAACCACAAAAACACCAGACGTTATGATAGAGACTTATAATTTGCACCGGTGTTTTTTCGAAATTCTATACGCGAAAAGTGAGCGCGAGAGCCCTCGGTGCGCCTGCTTGCTGCCAAAGTCAAAGTAAACTTTATTGTCATCTCCGCTACATACAGTCCAGTATGAGAGACGAGACGACGAGGCCCCAGTTACAGCAGTGCAAGAAAACAAACAATAAATATAAGAACAGTAAGAAAATAAACATACACTTTAGGACTCGGGGTAAAGGGATCAATAACAATTTAAAATTTGAAATTTACAGTTTGATGATTTAAAGTCTCACACACAACCCGTCGAAAGGGGAGGGGGGCCGGCTGCTTCCAAATAGAGCACATTTCATTCATAATGTTGTAAATCCAAGCCCATTATGGATTCATGATTTGAATCCTGGGTTGTGCAAAATCCCAGAAATGCACCTTAGACAAAGTGAATCTGTGAACTGAGGTGTAGGTGTGTTGTGGTGATCCTCGAGTTGGGGGACTTATGTTCATAATGGAGTGCAAAATTAAAACCGATGGAAGATGGACAAGAAAAGTTCGAAGTCATCAGGTGCTCAGTTTAGAAAAATTATAAAAGAAGAGGAGGAGAAACGAGCAAAAGATACAGGTAAGCAGATGTCATTGGATAATGGCAGGTCATCCTGAAACAATCAGAATCAGAATACTTTATTTATCCCTAAGGAAATAATGTGCATTACAGTTGCTCCAAGAAGAAATGGTAAAAATAGTAACAGTAACAGACTAAACTCCAAACAATACATTATGCTACAGATTTTAATAATAATTAGTCAGTGTCAATTGTTGATTTGTCCTGTTCTCATTGTATGACGTATTATAATGGCCGTTTGCATACTATGCATACTCTCTCTCTCTTCATATGTGTGTGTGTGTGTGTGTGTGTGTGTGTGTGTGTGTGTGTTTCCCTTGTAAAATTCAGTATGGCTCCAAAAACAGTTCTATGTTAATGTACAATCCTTAATATGTTTTATGTGTGTGTGTGTGTGTGTGTGGCCTCTGTAAAATTTGGTGTTTTAACTTTGGAGCCAGCCTCAAGTGGCCATTAGAGGAACTGCAGGTTTTGCGGGTGGCTTAATTTTTCAGCCCCTGAGGGGTTTTTTTTTTCAGGATAATCCTTTATTAACTTGGTCTGTTGTCTGGGTCAGACAAGAGGACATCATATTTATAAGACTGTACCATATAATTGCTCCCAAAAGCACCAACTAAACATGGTTAAGAGCACCAGTTCAGCGTCTCAAATTGGTGGTGAAGAGACAAATATCTGCTGCTGTCAGCAGAATTAATAATATGTAAACAGGCGCCTTGTCAAATGTTCCAACATAGCTATGGAGAGTGAAATTAGCTATATGTATAAATTATCTGTATTTCTTTGTACCAGACTGTAAACATGCCTTTATGTTGTTAAATTTAGCTTTTTAACAGCAGTGTATTTTATACTGTATATAAATGATGGATTTGGCATCACATTATCCATTGTTTTAGACTCATTTTGAAGCCTAAGCATCAGTGTTTTGGCCACCAGCATGTTGGTTATAGGGAGCCTGAAGTGACCATATTCAGACTAAAGGGTTGATTACTAACTAATCAGTGGTCGCATGCTTAGCAAGCTGCATTCATAAACTGTATAAGTATTAAGCACAGACACACATGGCAATAGACATTTTGCCCTTTCAGGGCCCCTGTATTGAGTTTCTATCTGCAAACTGACTTGGGCTTGCTCAAAGAAAACCTGCTGGACCCAGTCTAAACTGGAAATGGTCTGGGCCCTGTACAGTTCCTTCCACTGATATTATGATATATTATAATATTTGCAGTCTGTGGCTAAGAACATTGCCTTGTAAGTTCCACTTACAGTAATTATGTAACTTTTAATAACAAACTCCTCTGCCTGCTCAACTCAGCCTCAGTCATTTTTCCTCAGTGCAGGGATCTGTCTTAAATGAGGTCATGTGACTGTCCTGTGCAGCGGGAGATCTGTGCCGATGCTGCTAAAAGGGTGAAAGAGGCCCTACATTGAAAATAAACACATGCATACAAATAAACACACAGGGTCTGTTGTCACATAGAGGGTTAACTCACTGCCAGCTGAACTCCACAACTGTTACCATGGGCTCCTTAGCAACACTCACAGCAGGCATTGAAATGAGGGGGTAGATTTCTCTGAGTGATGTGTTTAGGGAACGCGATTAGCTTGCTGTACTTACATTTCATGTCATTGCACATAATATGTCAACCTCCATGTATTATTTGTTGATGCACCAGCTTCCTTTAAGACATCATGCATAAATCAAACGGAAGATTTTAAATAGGTTTTGGTTAGATGTGAATGCATATTGGTGTTGTTTCTCTATATAGCCCTTAGGGGGTGCTGTTTGCCTTGTGGCTTCTGTGCCTTGTTATAAGGTCTAGAAATAAACATACCACCTACTTTGATTCTGGGGAGGCAGTAACATAAGGGTAAGGCAGGCAGGTTGGTTGTTTCAGGTACCAGAGAGGCATGAAATCTAATCCAGAAGGAACAGCTGGATTATAGATCCATTAGTAGGAAGAGTTGCCAGGTGCCAAAACACAACAGGGCACAACAGCTTATATATTCCGAGGTTCTCTCTATGTTATTGGCTGTTGGTACCCCTGTTGTGTTGGCAGGCTCCTTCCATTCTTGAGAATGCAGGAGCGTTTTCGTTTTCCACATAGACCAAAAGTCAAAACCAATTTCCCTAGCCTCTCATTAGGATTCAGCCCCAAACCTGTTTGTTTCTACTGAAATAATGAAATAAAAAAATAAGCTCTATGGGAAAAATGCACAGAGCCACTGTGACATCACAGTTAATGGAGTCCT